ATTGTACAGTGGCATTAAGTGCCGTAATGTGCACCTCTGCCTACCCCTTCGGAGATAAAAAGGCGTGATGTTATGTTATGACATTTAATGTAAAGATTAATAATGAGATTAATCATTGTTATGACTTGTTAATTGCTCTATTGTAAATCAATTGACTAGATAAGATAGATTCGTTGTTTAGATCCTAGGATCTAAAAACCTATTAGTAGATGATAAAATCGTCTTCGTTTATTCGTTCTCGTCACAGATATCGCAAAGCCTGAAGACAAAAGTCTTCAACGAATACGTCCTTCCAGTAATGACATACGGAGCCAAGACGTGGACACTGACAGTGCTACTGGTCCACCAATTTAAGGTCGCGCAGCGAGCTATGGAGAGGGCTATGCTCGGAGTCTCTTTGAAGGATCGAATCCGAAACAAAGTGATCCGACAGAGAACCAATGTTATCGACATAGCCCAATGAGTCAGCAAGCTGAAGTGGCAGTGGGCCGGTCACATTTGTCGAAGAACCGATAACCGCTGGGGTAAACGTGTTCTAGAGTCGAGACCGCGTATAGGCAAACGCAGTGTAGGGCGCCCTCCAGCTAGGTGGAGTGACGACATCCGCAGGGTGGCTGGCAGTGGTTGGATGAGAAGAGCTGAAGACCGAGCTCAGTGGCGTGCCATTGGAGAGGTCTATGTCCAGCAGTTGACGAATACGGGCTGATGATGATGATGATGATGAAAATCGTCTTTCCTCATCACACACACACACATACATACATACACATACACACACACGCACGCACGCACGCACACACACACACACACACACACACACACACACCACACACACATACATATACATACATACACAAACCTAAAAATCACACATACATTCATACACTTTCATAATTAGTATTATATAAAGAATCATCATCATCAACAGCCTATAAATGCCCACGGCTGAGCAAAGCCTCTTCTCACACGGAGAAGGTTAGAGCGTTATTCACCACGCTTGCTCAATGCGGGTTGGCGATTTCAAACTTATAATTAGAAATTATAAGTCCAGGTTTCCTCACGATGTTTTTCCTTCACCGTTTGTCAGTGGTGTCTAAATAATCTTAGAAAGTACATATAACTCGGAAAAAGTCACATTGGTACTTGCCGTTGGTAGGTTTCGAACCCGCACCCTCATGCATGAGAAGCGGGCGTCTTAAACCTCCGGGCCACCACGACTACTTATATAAAGCATTACTTATATAATAATTTAGGCATTATTTTTTTTTGTAAAAAGTTGAAAGATAGTGACTGCTCCGTAACATGTGACGGGTTTGATTCCCGTACGGAACAACTCTTTGTGTGATCCACAAATTATTATTTCAAGTCTGGGTGTTGTTTTGTATTATATGTGAATTCGTACCACCCTCAATACAGGTTGAGTGAAGAAGTTTTTTTTAGGTAGAAAAATAAGGATATGCAACATGGGGGTAGATAGAGACTATAATACTCACTATAATAAAATGTTTCAAAATAACATTAATTATTAATGTCTAGTTACAGCACTTGGCAGTATTGTAAAAGATTTATTAGAAGTTATGGAAAAAAGCGGCTGTATGCAGCGCCTGAATTTGGTTCATGAACAATTTCTATTTTTACGATTCATTGCTATTATAATCTTTAAGTAAGGCTGTGATGATTATTATCGACGTAGAACTTACTGTAGATTAGGTTTAAACGAAAATAATTGCGACGTCACCTCTAAATTAAACATTAGTTGTAATATTTATAAGTATTTGCGTATATAGTTTTTCGAAATATAATATTTCCCGAAGTAAGCGCAGCAAAGTAGATTTTTATTTCCTTATTTTTTTTTCAGCGATAATCGTCCCACTGCAAAAGAAAGGCATTCCTACCTTACTTCCACTTGGGCTCGCTGCCATTGCAGTGGTACGTCCCCTCTTTGGAGAGTGGCTTGAGAAACGCTACGGCGTCCTCAGTCCTCACCTACCGCCTGACGCAAGTTCTCACCGGACATGGAAGTTTCGGGAGGTACCTCTGTCTGATGGGGTGGGAGGAAACGCCCGAGTTTCATCACCGTAAACGTGGGCCTGCGGTCGGTGGGCATGGGTGGCTCGCCGCCCGACAAGAACCAGACCCGAGTGTACGGCGCGTCGCGTTCCGCGCGCGCCTTAAAGAGCCATCAGACCACCACGGATGGGGCCCAATAGGGCTGATGCCGATTCGGAGTCGCGGAGAACCTAACGGGTTACCGGGGTTTTCAACTTGAAGTGCAGGAGAAGAAACGGAGTGGTTTTTAGTCAGTAAGAGTCTGACACTCCCTCCCGCCTCAGCCACGCGGGAGCAGTCATTCGACAACTTTCCCCCGTTAAACAAAACCTACTTCCACTCCTCTCTATTCAAAGATTTTCGCGCCAAGCCGAAAAGGAGATGGCGGAACGAACCGCAAAAAGATTTACATAAAAAAAAATAATTTTAGTTAAATATTTAGTTTAGTTAAAAATTCACCTCACTGTTGGAGTTCCGATCTAGTCACTAGCTTATCACTAAAAGAGGTTTTAGAACATATCTGTGTAATTTATGTACATACAAGTTAGTTATTATTTCAAATAACTAATGATTGTATCAGCAAGATACCTATAAAAGAACACGGATATAAATTAGATTAAGATAAATTCCCTTAAAAAAAACAACTGTAATAAATACAAGGTATGAATAGAGGGGCACTAACTATATATAAATGTGTGTCTGTATTAATTAAAGTGTTAGATTTCTGAGCATAAATCTTCTGTAGGCATGCATATGCTAGACAATCATGTCAAATTAACTATATGAGAAATAGAACTCGTACATAATTGGAACGAACCTTACTGAATGGACTAACACTTAATGCATCCTATAACCTAAGACCTATTGATTTCTTCTACATAATAGGGATTGCTATAATTTGTATGGGTATGGGTAGGACAAAAAGTACTAAATTAGAGACATATTACGGCAGCGTCAAGAGTTAGTTTACTGAAACTCTTAAAAAGAGGAAGTAAACGAAGTCGCGGGTCAAAGCAAGTGGAATATTTGAATATGTGTCATGAATTTGTAGACACAGCAACCTGTTAAGTGGTTAGGTATCATGAACTTCAAGGCCTAATGATAACATTTATTTACCTACAATAACAATAATTGAATAGGCACAAGGACCTACGAAATATATTGAAGTTATTGACTGTATGTCCCGATGTATGTTACTTAAAAAATTATAACTTGGAGTTGACTAATTACACATTTAATCTTTATATATATGTATAATTCTGTTGTACGTGTGTATGTCATTGAACTCCATCTAAACGGCTTGACCGATATAAATTATTTTTTCTGTACACATTTGAATGGCGCCCTGGATGGTTTAGATTCACAAATCAGCCCAGCAGATGGTGCTGCAGTCTTTTTTTTTAAGGGGGGAAATCTTCGAGTGACTTGTTATAACCTCTAGGTCTTTCTTTGTACCTTTTAACTAAAAATCGTTCTCTACACTTCAAAATCTATAATTTAAATATTTTTATACTTGACCACGATTTTAATCAATTTTATTGCTCCTTCTAAAAACTTTCAATTGGGAAAAGAATTGAGTATGATACTCAATTCTTGAATTTGAACTCATAAATCTCATGACTCATGAATCAAATCAACGACGAATTATTAAATAATTCAGGTAGGTACAACTTAGTTCTACATCCGTATATCAACGGGAGGTAACCTATAATGGGGTAATCATATAAAAATCTGTATTCTTATCACATTGATATAATCATCATTACCTAAGTTCAAATATTAGGTATCTCGGTGTGGTATAAAATTAGGCGTAGTTTTAGAATACACACATTCATTGAAGTGTCTTTTGTTTGAAGAAGTTAACACTGTTCAATATGAAAGGTAAGGCCATTTCAGTGCCGTATTTTACATTTTCCTTCATTTTCTACTTAGGTATAGTGAGGTCTGCCAAAATTCTAGAATATTTTAGATTATTTTTTGTGGACCCCACGCCTTAGCATTTTATTTATAGGAATGAGGAAATGAAAATTTTCAATAATATATGGTTTATTTATTTCAGACATCATAGCGTTCGTACTTTGCATCTCAGCTGTTGCTTACGCAGATTTGGGGGCATACAACCACAATGGATGTCCAAAAGATGCTACTTTTCTACCACATGAGAACTGCAACCAATTCTACGATTGCACCACAGGAATGTTGTTCGTCAGAGACTGTCCATCTGGGCTTCATTTTAACCCAAGCCTGAAAATGTGTGACTGGCCAGTAAACGCCAACTGCCATAACAATGTGCACAAAAATTCTCACGAAAAACTGACCAAGAACGTGAACGAGATTTGCTCATCTCCTGATTCTGAAGGCGTCTTGGTAGCTCATGAAAACTGCAACGAATTCTACAGATGTGCTGATGGTAAGCCAATGCACCATCAATGCGCACCAGGTCTCCTGTTCAATCCCACTGCTATGATATGTGACATGCCACACAACGTGAACTGTACTACCGAAGGACTTTTTATTAGCAAAAAATATCTGGCTGCTACAAGAGCTAACTATACGACAGATGAGGAAGCAGCTACCATTTGTGCAACGCAAAATCATTTCGTGTATCCGTTTTCTCACAAAAATTGTAACCAGTTCTACGTGTGCAGCCTTGGTGAGCCAGTCGTTATGTCCTGCCAACCAACCCTCTTTTTCAACGTCGATGATGGAATCTGTGACTGGCAAAAGAACGTTAAATGTGGTGACAGAGTAATTCCTGGTGAAGAAAAGAAGAGTGGAAAGGTATGTTCAGAAGCTAATGAAGGTCGTGTGTTTGGTCACCAGTACTGTAATCAGTTCTACCAGTGTCTTGGTGGTGAGATGCTACAAGGGTCATGTCCAAGCGGTTTGTACTTCAACACTTTCTTTGGTATTTGTGACTGGCCAGAGAATGTTAACTGTAGCAATCGTTTGGTTTAGTAAGAACTAATCTTATACCTTGAAGACTTGCGCCTTACGCTAACAGATTTCCACGTAAATCGTAATTACATGTTCTTTTTTGCTTAAAATCATTATTTTGACTTTTTAGTTTATTGTCCACGAGTTTTCAAACGACACATTGTATTTTGTTTTGTTCGCTAATATTTTTTGTAAGTTTTGTTCTAATAAAGCCACATGAATATTATTGTGTAATTTATTTTACCCTTTCATGAAGTAGCAAAACCTACTCACGATTGTTGATGCTAATTTAATTCAAAAGGAGTGTATTGCTAAAACTACAATATCTACATCATGTCATATACATATGCGTTTATTTAGTGAAAAACTTTTAGTAATTTTCCTCTCCTTGTAAAAATTAGCAGACCGGTTAATTGCAGTTATTTTCAATGTACATTCCTATTTATCTTCTAAAAACTTTGGATTACAAAATCTCAATCTACATATAAACCGAAAGAATTTAAAAAGGGCAATGAGAAACCGATAGGTTGGTTCAAACTACGTTCTTTATAGTTGCCATTATTCAGACTTGAAGGTTCTGCCACCTGAGCCAAGCAGCCAAGCAATCTTTTCTGCAATGCAGTCTTTTGCATTCTTACGAAAATACGAAGCAAGTACTTATACTTGCTCGACACTTGATCTAACGTTGATGAAATCTAGAATTGACTAGAATATCATTAAAAGAAAATAATATTTACAACTATCTTTTATAGTATTATCGCATCGTCATCTATACAGGTTTAACACATTCCTGATTGGTTATTTATGTCATTTTATGAAAAATCCTTAATAATTGATACCTATTTTTTATTAGGTATACTTTTAAATGCCATGATTATATCAGACGACGACTTTTATTAATAAATATTTTGATTACAATGTAATATAACAAATGCAAGATATTTATTATAAAAGCATTGTACTGTTACCAGAATAATAGAGATCCAAAAAATAAATCACATATTTCAGGAAAATATTTATTGTGGGAAAAATATATGAGGTAATTTGCGCTTGTCAGTATGAAAGAAATCGTGATTGGACTGCCATGTTCACGATATGATATGAGTGGGTTTAATAAATGAATGAAAAAAATGTTTATCTTATACCGAAAATAATTCTTGTTAACTTTAGCTAAATATTGGTTATTTTATAACTTTACTTTTATTAAAAAATTTGAAATATAGTTCAATATGTTTTTCTACTTAGCTATTTGTACTATGAATAGTTTGAGAAATGGAAACTGCATTGCTTTTACATTATCAATAATTTCGATTTTACCATTAATTATTCACAACTTAAAAATTCAACTGTAATGGCAGTGGCATTATGACAACCTTTGTACAATTTTTGCTGCATTAAATTAACTTCTCTAATAAATGAGATTTTATACAATAAAAATAACGTGTTACGCCACAAGTATCCAATATTTTTAATACCTGATTAATGTTTGTCCCCGAAGCTATATGCCCAAACACAATTTGTGAAACTTCTGTCCACTGAAACAAAACATGTCGATCAATCATCTCTTTCCCTTGTGTTCCAAATTTTTACAAACTCTTCTATTTTCTTATGTCTCATGTCAATGAATTTGCTAGGGTAAAAATATACATTGCACAACTGACATTTGCCAGATAAATCATTTTATTTCTAAAGTGCTCGAAAAAATAGATAAAGATGATAAACAATAATGTATGGAATCTGATACAGTGCAGTACCAACTGCTGTGAATACACACGACTGCTCGAGCGATCGCTGAAACGGTTTTTTGGTTTAGTTAGATCAATAACCAGTAATAAAAATGAATCAGAACCACTATAAAATAAATAAAAACGAAACTAGAATTCTAAATCAAAACAATAATTATAATACAAAACTATTAAGTGGTCAAAATTTTAGCCGTCACACTTTTCTTTGAAGTGATTGACACAAGGAGAACTAACGGAACTCAAACGGAATTTACAATGAGTGTAATTATCGAAAATAGGTGTTGATTTTATTCTAACTGTCAGTTCATCACTTCATAGAGACACCAAAAGGAATAATATAATATGTTCAGTTTCTAGGGTTGTGTCACCATAGATTTCAGATTATGATAAAATATTGGTCGACACTGAATAATGAAAAAGACTTGCTATCTGTTGTGATTTTTACTACTAATTTGTTAACTATTTAGTATTTTCTTATTCTTAATAAAATACGCCAGAGAAAAAATCACATATATTTTATTTTGCTTCAATCTGAAAATTTTCCTTTGACAACCCTAAAAATTGACACATCAACCAAATACACTTGACATTGTCCAATGTATTGAAATAAAGCAACGTCATTCTTTACTACCCCATCTTAGACGATAAAAGTCTTCTAAGCAGTCAAACTTAACAGATATGGAAAGTATTCCCCCATACAAAGATTTCCATAAACAGATAAAAATCAATTTATGGCTTGCAGGGATCCCTTATGGCGATCCGAAGTTTTACTTCAGATTCTACGTCATATTCGTTCAACTTTTATTGATGATCGTCTTCGAAGTATCGTTCTTTGTCTCGAGAATTTCAGCTGAGAATTTTCTAGAGCTGACCCAATTGGCTCCGTGTATGGGAATCGGTATACTATCTGCATTGAAAACCATGGCTGTAATTCAAAAGCGAAAGAAAATTTATGATCTGACCGAGTGTCTTGAGAATCTCTACCGTAACATTCTGAGTAATGAGCAGAAAGTGAAACTTGTAAGGAAAGATTTGGTCCTTGTCAACTTACTCATGAAATATTATTTCATTTTGAATCTCCTATTGATCTCTGTCTACAACTTCTCAACTCCGTTCATAATTTTGTATCATTATTTTGCGAAACATGAGGTGATTTACATTCTACCTTACGCAATTTTAGTGCCATTTTCTACTGATTCCTGGCTGCCTTGGATTATAGTTTATATTCATTCCATCATGTGTGGTGAGTAAATGCTACCTCGTTTTACACTGTATCTTATATTTTTTCTTAATCCTTTTAAACACAGACGCGGTAATAAGAATTTCGGTGATAATTGTAACTATCTACATATGAATTCTAATTAATAAGTTCTGCTTTCCAGGTTTCATCTGTGTATTGTTTTACACGACGATCGATGGACTTTACTTTGTTCTGACTTCCCACGTCTGTGCAAATTTTAGCGTGATTAGTGATATGATTGAAAGTTTAGATGAAACTACTGCAGATCGCTTGGCAGACATAATCAAAGAACATCAGTATATTCTGAAGTAAGTGCAAAATGTATTTATCCAAAAGCCTGCGCTAGAAGAAATAAAGAATTGAAACAACTATGCTTTATAATAACATCATGCAGAAAAAGTATCTTATTTCTATGTTTATCTTTTGAATTTAATAACTTAAAAAATAATTCAACGGCGACAGCCATTATTTTGGGTTTTCATTAAAAATATTTATTTACTGTCAATCATCCTGACTATTACTAAATAATACCTGAATAATTAAAGGCTACCAAATTTTAAGTTGTACTTAAATATCGTACCATTTCCGTCATTTTATAGAAATTGTAATGACAGACCTATACTTAAGCGCAATTTAAATTTGAGTAGCGTTTGTGTATTTGGAAGTGAGGCAAACAGATAATATTATTTTCATCATATTAAGGACCTATCCTTATAAATAAAATATAATATCTTTTTCGAAATCACCTTAATACATGAGGTAGAATTAATTACATACTCATTACATTCTTCTTTGCTTATGTGATTGTATCGCATATAACACGAAAAAACATAAATTGGCCTGTTAAATAGCAACGCAAGATAAATTACATGAACACAGAATAACTCCACAATATTCGGATTGAATTCAGTTACCTTCCTAACTTGGAATTTACCGTTAATTCTGTTTTGTCGGTTGATTCGCTGAGATACCGAAGTTTTGATGGGTAGCCTTCGTCATTTCATAATATAACATTTATGTTTAGATATAGATATTAGATAATTATTTGTCGGACGGTATTTTTATGAAATATGTCTATACATAAATTAATATTCTGTCTTCGTAATTGAGTAACAAATCTTCTATATCTGAACTACATACGGTACATATAAACAGCTAGAAGGCCTCAATCGAACGTATTGCAATTCAAAAAGAATCTATCCCGCTGTTATAATGATATTGAACTCGATGGCTGATTACGATTTTGAATTGTACCTTTTATTGGTTGCAATGGAAATTGATTGCATGGGATTGAAAAGATAAGTAGTGAAAGGAGATTGTGGTATTCGTGGAAGAAACCTTAGGATGTTATAATAGAAAAGGAAGGCTAAAACAAGTCAAAATCAAAATCAAAAATAATTTATTTGCCCGAACAAGGTATACAGTGGTCACATTATAACTCAGTCGTATCATGTATCAATTTCTTCAAAAGTAGATAACAAAATGAACTTAATAACGGTAGCTATAACACAGTTACATAATTAAGTAATAGAATTAAAATAAAAGCAAATTAAATTATCACTCCAAACATTTTCAGGCTCGGGGAGGACTTGGAAGATATTTTTACTGCGCCCAATCTGTTTAATGTGTTGGTCGGCTCTTTGGAGATATGCGCTCTCGGATTTAATTTAACGGTAAAGTTAATTACAATGATGGCACTTTAATGGAAGCGTGTAAACCAGTTTGTGATCGGTAAAAGTATGACGTATATCGTGTTTTTCGCGAGGTGCACTCATGTTTCCTGATTGCTTTTAATTATTGTCATGCTGTATAAACATTTTGGAAATGCTGTTTTAATGAATTTTACTTGCGTTACCTTGAGTTTTAAAAAGTATCATATCTGTTACACGATATAATAGTGTAGGTACACAATTACACGTATTTTTTTTTTTTTTTGTACTGTTAAATATCATCAACAGCCTATGCCTATAAGTGGCCACTGCTGACCAAAAGCCTCTTCTCATACAGAGAAGGTTTGAGCATTAATCACCCCGCTTGCTCAATACGGGTTGACAATGTCAAACTTATGATTACAACTTATAAGCTTAGGTTTCCTCACGATGTTTCTTCACCATTCATCAGTGGTGTCTGAATAATCTTAAAAAGTACATATAACTCGGAAAATGTCACATTGGTACTTGCTGTTGGTACGTTGCGTACCCTTATGTATAAGAAGCAGGCAAC